GGGGGGCTGCGGGTCGGGAGTGAGGGGCACCGGCAGGGCTGGGGGGAGGGGCACTGGCAGGCCAGCACAGATGTTTGGCACTGCAGCGGTTAAGGCAGACGGGGGCGGGAACAGGGCTCAGCCAATGGCTGCACTGCCTTGGCCCGGTGTGGGGCGGTGCTGTGGGGCGTGGAGGTGGCTGGGGGTGCCAGGCCCAGCCATGGGGCCCGAGGACCGTGCCGCACTGCTACACGTGTCCGGGGCCGGCGCTCTGTGCCTGGCCCTGGTGGCTGCGGGCGCCCTGGACCAGGTGGCCGTGGAGGTGGGGTACGGGTACTACGCGGAGCCCCCCGTCCCCTGGCTGCCCCCCGCCCTGGCCATGCCCTGCAACTCGCTGGTGAACCTGGGCTACGTGGCGCTGGGCTGGCGCTGGTTCCCCCGGGCTGGCCACGGGCCCCACCGCTACCTGCAGGCCGTCTTCGCCCTGATGGCCCTGGCCTACGGCCCAGTGCAGTGGGCCCGGCTCTGGACCCAGCACCCTCGGGCGGCCGTGCTGGACCAGTGGGTGACCCTGCCCATCTTCGCCTGGGCCGGGCTCTGGTGCCACTGCCTGGTGCAGGGCTGGCAGCCCGACCACGTGGCGCTGGCCACGGGGGCCTCGGTGCTCAGCTACGGGCTGGCGCTGGCTCACGCCCGCGGCTTTGAGGGGGCCCTGGCTGCACATGTGGCCGGCGTGGCGGGTGCAGCGTGGCGGGCGCAACGGCGCCGGGGGGACGCGGGCTCAGCCTGGACCGCGGCAGCCGGTTTCGCCGCCTGCCTGGGCTTCGTGCTGCTGAAGCTGGGAGACGCCTGGCTGGCCCAGTGGGCCCCGTTCCGGAGACTCAGCGGCCACTTCTGGTCCAAGGTGTGCGACGTGCTGCAGTTCCACTGCGCTTTCCTCTTCGCCACGCGCCTGGGGGGGGGCCGCCCCGCGCCCGGAGCCCCCCCTGCCCACCCGCCCCTCTCCTGGGCCAGGCCAGCGCCCCCCACCCCCCCTCCAAGCAGAATAAAGAGATTGGCGTGGACGATTTCTGCATGTGCGTTACTGCAGGGGACGCTGTGCTGGGGGGCACGGGGAGCGGGTCCTGGGGCTGACTAGACAGGCTGCATCCCAGCAGCGGATGAGGGGTCTCCCCATAAATGGCCCCCACCCCCCAGGCAGCCACGTCTTCCCCCAGAGAAACTAAGGCCCAGATTAAAAATATATAAAATATTTTATTTTTCCCATTGACAGTTCCGGGCCCCCACCCCCGGGAAACCAGCCGTGGGGCTCCGGCAAACACGAACCTTCACAGCTGAGAGCTGGGGGGTCTGTGTGTCCCGGACGCCTGAGTCTCATGCAGCAAGGGGGCTCCGTGTGCAGGGGAGTGGGCACCGAGGTGACACCCCCCCCTTCAGTTCAAAGGCCCCTTCCCGGACGCCTGGGTCCCATGTCCATTGCAGGGGCTGGGGGAGGAGAGCAGGTACCATGTCTCCCCCTCCATTCAAAGTCGCCTCCCCGGACGTCTGGGTCCCAGGCTCGAGGGTGGGTTCTAGCAGCCAGGAGGTGCGTTTCGGGGTGGGGCTCACCCCCCCACCGATGAGAACTTCATCCTTCCGTGTCCGTCCGTCCAGCTCAGGGCTCGAAATCGTCGCTCTCCTCGGGCAGGCGGGGGGCCGACCCTGCGGGGGAGGGGAGAGGGGTCAGAGCTGAGGGGGGCAGGGCCCCCCAGGCACTGAAAGAAGGAGCTGGAGGGGGGAGCTTTACCCCCCCCAGCCCAGCCCCACGGGGGGGGTTACCTGCCGGGAGCTCGGAGGCCAGCACCCCCAGGCTGTCCAGCGCCCCCTGCTGGTACAGCGCCAGCCGCTCCATGATGCGCTGCCGGGCCGGGTTGATGTGAATCGGGGGCTGTGGGGACGGGGCGACGCCTGCAGAGAGAGCAGAGGTCAGGGCACTCTGCCCAGGTCAGAGGTCACCGGACTGAGGGGTCAGAGGTCACAGCGGGCAAAGGGCCATGTCACCCAGGCCAGACCCCAGCAGGAACAAACATCGGGGGGGGGGGGGGGGGGAAATCTGTGTGTTCCAGGAACACCGTGCCTCAGTTTCCCCATGTGCTGCTGCGTGTGTAACGAGGGGGTGGGAGGGGCGTTCGTTACTGCAGGGGACCAGGTGCGACCTCGCCTGGCAGCCGGGACCCCAGATACCAGCCGGGGGACCCAGCGACTGGTGCCCAGGAGGCCCCCCCAGCTCGGGTGCAGCCGGTTCTGGCCAGTGGGGGAAAGGGGCTGAGGGGCCCGGTTCCAGCCGGGGGGAGTGGGCGGGGGCAGGTGGCCTGTTTACCTGGGGCTGGGGACAGAGGGCGGCCAGGGGAGGGGATATGGGGGCTCGGCTGGAAGGGGGGGGCTGGCTGGGGACCAGGACAGGCCCAGCTGGCCAGGGCTCAGATGGGCCAAGCCCAGGGCCCTGAGAGCCGCCTGGGCGGGGGTCAGACACCCCCCTTGCTCCCTCCCCCACCGAGCTGGGGCCGAGGATGAGGGGTGCGGGGAGTGGGGGCTCCGGGCTAGGGAAGGGGATTGGGGCGAGGGGGGAGGCCTCCGGCTGGGGCAGGCGTTTGGGGTGCAGGAGGTGTGTGAAGGAGGGTCTGGCTGGGGCCCCGAGGCACTTGGCAGCCAGGCGGCTCTGTGCTGCCCTCGTGCCCACAGGCACCGCCCCCACAGCTCTCATTGGTCGCGGTTCCCGGCCAATGGGAGCTGTGGAGCCGGCGCGGGCGTGGGGGCAGCACACAGAGCCAGGGCAGGCAGGGAGCCGCCGACAGGAGCCGTGGGGGCCCTGGAGACCAGAGGAGGGGACGCCCCAAGGGGCCCACGGCAGAGCCAGGCTGCTGGGGGCTCAGGGCTGTGGTCCCGGGAGGTGGGGAGGCCCAGAGAGACCAGACCCCCGGTCCCCCAAGGGCCCTATGGAGCCGAGAGCCAGTGGCAGGGAGCAAAGGTCAGGGCGAGCGGGGGTCAAAGGGCACTCTGGGGAGGACAATAGGGTCAGAAGTCACCCCACAAGGACAGGACTCACCCAACCAGCTGCCCCCCTCCTCCGACAGGCTCTCATCGCTCTCCACAGGCTGGTTGGGGGGCAGCCCTGGGGTCCTGGGGAGCGAGTCCCCCCAGGAGGTCGAGGGGGGATCCCAGGGCAGAGACTTCTGCAGCCGCTCTAGGTCCTCGTACACCTGGAGGGAGGGGCAGAGCCAGGGGACCCTCAGAGCTGGGGGAGAACCCAGGAGACCGGGCTCCCAGCCCCCACTGCTCTGACCCACCAGCCCCCACTCCCCTCC